AATGATCCATTGACACCTGTGGACTTGTTTGTAGATCGCCCGATATGCTGCGGCTCAAAAAGCCATGACCGCCAAGGTGAAAGCTACGATATCTTCTCAGATACCAGAGTCGACTCTGCGAGTTGCACTCACACATAGACTCACTAGCATCAGAGTTCTAGGATTCCAAGCCATGCATGCGATAACAACTGCTTATGACAAATCAGTCGATGTTGAGGCCACCCTCTGGCGATACTCCTTGTCATACGTGGCGAAATCAACCGACAGCAAAGAGTATACCTCAGTAATGCTACAAACATTGATCACCTTTCTAGACCGATTCTCGCAGTCGCCATCCAAAGCAAAACAGAAGAGTGATTTTGAGAGTTTTTTCGTCGACTTTCTCTTACACGATGTCGTCGTAAAAAAGGGTGCATATCCAGGGACAGTTGCAGACAAGGAGAGTTTCATGTTGTCACTACTCGGTTACCTTCTGAGCTTCGTGACGCAGGACCAATCTTTCAACATCCAGACTACAGTGGCGAAGCATGGTATCGTTTTCAATCGCAAGAGGAGCGCTGAAGAGAAGACGGCCATGCTTCAACTGTTGAACTCTTTCTTCACTCCTGAGGTCTTTGGCTCAGTGTATTCGCTCCTATTCTCAATTTGGGATGGTACGCGAGCCCTCGCCTTTCGGTTTCTTTCGAAGTTGGTCGTAGCGGGCCAAATGAACAAAATTCCACTTCCCTCCGAGTTTGTGAGCAAGAAAGCACGGGAGTCGTTGAAGGCTCGTGGAGTTCATCTGGCATCCTCCCCACGTCAACGAGAAGCAGATACTGGATCTCGTATACTTGCATTTCTCTACTTTTCTTTGGACGAGCCTAAGGGTAGAATTGCCTATCTACAAAGCATGATGAGTCTGCTGACGACTCGTTTGCAAGACATGAAAGAACAACTTCGATTAATCTTGGAGGGACAAGAGAAAGTTATTGCTACTAAGACCGCGAGTGCTTTGCCACTTGCACACGGTATCATTCAGGCAATTGCACTCACGGTGGAACATAGCAAATTGGACGCGACGCATGCTACTGCTCATTCGACAATAGATAATAGGAACATCTACCATGATCTCTTGGAGATTTTGGTCGAAGCCATCCAAGTCGCATTGGCTGTTGTCGCCGATGTCCGGGAAGGGGAGTCGATAGAAGGTGTTGGAGATGATATGGACTTTGTCCACAAGAACGATAGGGGATCCTCTGTCCCATTGAATGTCAATACCGGGGCTATCGGGGCAAACGGAACATTCTCCTCAGTGTCAACGAAAGATGATGTTGAATTTGCTAGTCGCCTTGCCGTTCAACGAGTAGTGGTATGTGGCATTGTTATGCCTTGGAAGTGTTGTTTCACAGACCTGCGTGGTGAATTGATTCAATTTATGTTGTTCCTCTTTTCAGATCGGATCTTGGCTCTTGACGAAAGAGACTTGTGAGTGCATTTCATCTGTGATTTCTGCCCGAGGATATGAAGCTCGATTTGATACCTTTGCAAGAATTGGAGAGCTGCTTATCAGCACTCTAACAACATTGAAGCATGCTGGAGCTGCTTTTGCGGCACGAGACTCGTTGCAGGTTGTCGCTGCGGTTGCCTTGGACGCAACCTACGATGCGAAGATTCTTGGGCTGCCTACTCTATGGGCAAAGAGGCTCGTTGCCGAGATATCCACATCTGACAAAGTACGGGATTCGACTCTTCGACGTAGCACTGGTTATGCATTGGGCTTTCTTGCAATCATGCGATCAGAACTTGCGCGAAAGCAGGGGCCGCCAACGATCTCAAACCATATTCTTGACACTCTCCTCACTTTATCACTGCCACCAGAAGACCGCGTCAAAACCATGTTTCGGCAGCTTAGTCTGGATGAAACACAAGCAGGTTTAAGCTCTATTCTTCAACTCAGTTCAGGTCAAGGTCCTTCGTTTATTTCAGATGCTAATTATGAGGTAAGACTTCGGGTAGGACGTTCCATGAAATAGCATTTGGTTTCTAACCAAAATGTAGGCTCGTGGCCGGGTCCATGCGCTGAACGTCATGCGATTGATCATCCTTGATGCCCCACTTGTTTCAGTAGTTTCACCGATGGTAGGATCTTCGATGGTTTCAGCAATCCTTGGTTACGACGACCCTTCCTGGGCTGTGAGAAACTCTGCTACTATGGTCTTTAGTGCAGCTATGCTTCGGGTGATAGATGCTGATAAGAATGCATCGAACAATGATAGAACTAGCAGCAATGCTATCACGATGACAGAATTGTTCCGTCGCTATCCTTTTTTGTCTACTTTCCTCTTGTCAGTGATGAAAGCCTGTATCAAAGATGTTTCAATGGACAAGGCTGAACATTCTCGAATCTTTCCGATTGTGCTGTTGTTGTCAAGACTACAGCCTATATCCAAGTCGGGAGAGGCCTCGGTAGGCTATGCTGAAGAATTCATTGGAGTTACTCTGGAGTGTCTAAGCAATAAACATCACGCCATACGAGCGGCAGCGGCTCGATCAGTTGCAACCTTGTGCTCAGAGCCAACCAAGTATTCGAAGAAGTGTCTAGTGCTGATGTCCGAGGGCCTCGATAAATCGAAGAGAGACTGGAATGCAATCGATGGAATCTTGATGTGTCTCGAATCCCTCTCGGCATCATTTCCGTCGTCACGAGAGGATGAGAAGGACACTGAGTCTGTCTTATTGGAGTTTTTGGTTCCCAACGAGTCGTTCAGACCACCTCCAAGCTGCACCGCAACGGCAATAAAGATTCTCTGGTTGATGCGCTCAAATCAAGAAGTCGCTGAAGATTCAACAGATCTGTCGATCAAAATCTCACAGGCATGCAAAATGATTGTGCATCAAGATGGAATTTCAAGAGACGTTGGCGGTTCTGATCTACACGCCACTTGCGCCACGATCCTTGTTGAAATTCTCGACCACTCCATCTGGTCTCCAAGAGATCAGGATGAAATAGAGAGCGGATTGCATCAATTGAATGGAATGTTATCATCGAGCATATATGATGTGAAACTGGCAGCCGCCAAGGCATTCAAGAAGAGAGTATACAATAGGGTGGATAAACTTCTTGCAAGAGTGCAGTCATCGGAAGAGGTCGGTAGTGTTCCTTCGTCAAGCCAAATTTTGTCAATGGTTGCAAGAACTCTCCTTTCTGCTTTGAAGAAGGAAATATCCCACGGCTCTGGCAAGGGAAGTCACCCCCCAACGGTTCGGCGGCTATCTCGATGTTTTTTGGAGTGCTTTTATGGATATAAGGAACTCAAGTCTGCTGGCGACAATAGGGCGGTAGATTTTCTTTCTCCATCCGGCTTGGATGTTCTCTGGACGACTGCCAGCAGCATTGCTGAGAAAGAAAACGTCTTTGATGAAGTGCACGAAGAGTGCAATGGCCAGACATTTGCATCATCCAACGCTGTAGAGATGATGGCCGTTGTATTGTCCACCAAGAACGCACCGGTCAATCGGTCAAGCCTAACAGCAAGATTGAAGGTCTTTTCACAAGCTATTCAACACTTGAATGATCCACAGGCATCGTGGAGATCACGCCACAGCGCTTCCCTGGCGATTGAGACTAGTGGCGTGCTTGGTTTGAGGTTGGAAACCTGTAATGTTGACGGAATTCAGAACCTTCGTGAAGAGATCCTTCGACAAACTTTGGGCATGTTACAAGATTTAGATCCCGACGTTCGGGCTACTGCATCAAGAGCACTTTATCAAATGGGAAACTCGGCAGTGACAGCCACCCCCTCGCAGTTGCCGCAGGTCATGCTTGAGGATACTTGTGCCAAGGTTTACAACTCAGCTACAAAGTATGGTGATGTCCAAAGCACCGTTGCACACTTGCAAGCAACACTTGTTCAGAATTGCTTGGGTCTCGTGGAAGCAATGGAGTCGTTTCATAGCGAATGCAGCAAGAGTAGTGGAGCGACTTCCTCCTACCAGGGGCTCCTGAACGTGACGAGTTCGCGGAAGATCTTTGAACAGGAAGATCCCAACCCCAACAACGAGAAAGCCTTGGTCACTCAGCTTGCAATCCAGTCCCTACTTCATCTTTCCAAGAACATGGGTGCTGGCGAAATGATTTTCCAGGACGAAATCTTCCAGCGATGTTCCTCCTGCATGGAAATACTTGATCGCATTGTCACTATCGGTGGCGTCGCCCACGATTCTACTCGGTTCCCCTTTATCTTCCCCGCCTTGCATGGCTTGCTCCAAACGGTTGCGCTGGCAGTTTACCTTGGAGCATCTGTTCATACGTCGGAAGTCCAGACCATGGCTCAGGTC